TCTGGAAGTTGTTTTGTTTGGAGTCTCTAATTTTCCTTGATGCTCAAGACTACATTTGAGACTTCTCCACAGTTCCTTGCCTGTCTTTTTGTTTGTTTTTAAGTGCACAGTTTGATTTCCATAGAGCCTTATAAACTTAAATCTGTGCCACACCATAGACATTTCACAGAATTGACAATAGCCTGAACAAATACATACCACTCGTGGGTACAACGTGGGTATGTTTTGCTTTCTCTCCAAAGCTGGGATACGAGCTTGATAGGCTTATAGTCATACCTGATATTGCGTACTTTAAACAACATTCTTAAAACAAATTTAGTGCAATTACATCAGGCAAGTCCTTCAGAAAGCTCTTACTCTCTATGCTTCTTTCCCTCAGCTAATCACTAAAGATTACATTTCTTTTTGGGAGCAAGAATGTGTTTCACATAAAGTTTTAGACTTCAAGAAGGTGATGCAACTCTTCTTAAGAAAAAAATACATAGATTTTTCTGAAACCAAGGCAGTTAAGTCTTTTATCTAAAATCAGGAGCAATATTTGGTTGGTATCTCTTGTTGGCTATCAGATGAAGAATTATGTGAAGAATGCAGTTAACAGCTGCTGGTTTCAGTCTAAGCCAGGTTCCAAGTATTGTTTGTCCCTGAGGTTACTGTCTGGAAACAAGAAAATTGTATTTAAGTTCTTTTCCCTAAAAAATAAATAAATAAAATATTACTATTTCTTCTTGTAGCCCACTGTTGTTAAGCATGTAGCTTTCATTTAAGTGGTTAAACACAGAAGATATTTCTTAGAGGTTTGCATTTTTATAGGGCACTTCTTTTGTGTGTTCTTCAGTTGTTTATAAGTCATACGTAAAGGTTTTTTTTTTCACCGCATTACCTGTTTTTCTTAGCAGAAAACATTACAATTACTTCAAGTTACCACTTTTCTAGTGATATTGTTTGAAGATTGAAATTGTGTCTCTTTAAAGTTGATGGCAAACCTTGCGTGAGATGATTGTTAAGTTTGTGTAGACAATGTGGAGAGACCTTCTAGTCTGTTTGTCTAAAGGGTCTAGAGACTGTTTGTCCTAGGATCTTAGGAAAATTGACCAAAAAAGCAAGTACTTCATTGAGCAGGAGAATCCTGGTGATATGTGTACAAAATTCCAGCCTCTGCGTCTCATCTAGAGATGCTAGACTGTACTGTATCTCCATTAAATAGTTGGAGTGACTTTCTTGCAGCAGTTCAGGTACCTTGGTCCTACAAGGGTATGGATTGCATGTTTGGGGTTTTTGTAGTAGGGTAACAAAAAAGCTGGAGCCCCATCTAGTGCATGAACGTTTAACACCAGTGGAGAAGTTATAAAATGTGTCAGAGCAGAGAGGATGGAAGGCAATCCCATTAGTGGGAAAATTTTATCCTTTTTGTAATATAACTTGCATTACTACATGAGTAACAGATTGGAAAGTAGGGGCCAAATGCAGATTTTTGGGGGGGGGGGGGAAGGTGATTCTGCAAAGGTTAATCTTATTGTGTCCTAAAGGGACCATATCTGTTAAAAGATGTAACTGTGTTAGAACCCCAGTAAGAGCAGTCCAATTGAAGGCTAATTACAGTGCGAAAAAGTCACTGTGAGACCAGGACATGTTTATCACATTTATGTTAGATAAATCTGATTAAATCCAAGCACATTTGACCTTGCCCTGTTGCTTGTTTCCAGGAAAAAATTCTTAATAAACAGAAAGGCTGGGACTTTCAGCTTTGATTATGCACTTTAGGATTGTAGGTAAAATCCTGACTCCATGGAAAGTCAGCAAGACTGTTTTCATTAATTTCATTTGCATCAGCTTTCACCCTTGGATTTTGAGATTAGTTTTCCTCAGAGAGCTAGGATTTGCTGTCCCTGTGAACTTGAACTTCCCTGCAAAGGTTTGGAAGGAAATCCTCTTAGAAAATCAGTGTTGTAAGTATAATGGGCTGGACAGTAGTCACCCTTCTCCACCGGCGAAGAGGGAAGTTGCCTTTGAGATTCTGACAGAGCCCATTTTAAAATAAAATAAATACAGTGCACTTTTTGAACTTCTTGAAATGTGGGGAAATACTGGTTTTGGTCGATGTGGATTTTTTTATGCATAAATGTTTCATTAGAAAGAGTGATTTTTCTTCTAAACAATTGACCTTGACTGGTTTAAGTCATTTTCTTTCAATGATTATGTACATATTCAGGAATAATAAGATTTTGTAAAAGAAGAAAATCTGAAATATTAGTGTTATTTTAGGAAATTCAGTGCATCAATGTTTGTAGCAGTATAGAAAGCTACCCCTATATAAAATTCAGCCTTCATTAGTATTTTTGACAATTATGCACCTAAATTTGAGTATGAGTATCAAATGAAAATCATTGGTTTATTAATGAACAAGTTATGCATACACATGTTAAATGTTTTATTGGATAAAAAGCTAGTTAGGGCTAATGACCTGCATTTTTGTTCACAATTTAAGTCTATCTTGACCAGACTGTGGTCAGAAGTGGGCATAACGCTATGTTTTGTTAGGCCTATGGATTTATAGAAAGACTAAGAATATTACAAGCCTGCTGGTGATGATGTCACTGAAAGTACAGTGTATTAAAATATATTTATCTTTTTCAGTGGTAGCAAGTAAAATCAGCCATAGGGGATTTTTAATAAGAAAAACTTACAATGGTCTTTTTCCACTAAAAAGCATTGTCTTATGTAGATCTGTACTAGTACTACAAGTCGGTTCAGCTTTATTTCATATAGCCTATGATAACTTGTTCTACAGAAAAGAAGTTTTTATTATAAATATGGAAGCTTTTTTAATGTAATCTTTGAATTATAAGAAAATCTTCCCTGTTTTCTGGATTTAGGAAGCATCCATGTCTCTGTAAAGCTTTAAATAGTGTAACCACAGTTGTGCTATGCCCTCAAAAGAACATGTTTTCAGCTTTGTTCTGAATCAGAATGCAAAAATCAAAAGTTGCTTAACTCAAGCTGATGTGTCATGAGGACAAATAAACTGTTCTGCAAACAAATAAAATGTTTTTTACTATAGCCTGAAGAAATTAAATTATATGTATCGATCTCATCAAATTCTTGTATCTGCTAGAGTGATTTAAAATCACAATCGTTTAATTAATGAGTTTCTTTTAAATAACATAGCTGTAAAAATCAACCAAAAAAGCAAACAAGATAATGTCCATATTGCACATTAAACAACATTTATTGTCTACTTGTGCTTCAGCATGTAAATACACTAGTAGCTTGTAATGCAGTACTTAATCAGAAATCCTGTGTCAGGTACTATTGGCCTTGAGGTCAAAATCAGTATTACTGATTGCTGTGGGAGCCACACAGTAATCCATGCTTCCACATGCAGGTCATAGGACCTGGCTGCGGGGATTGGTTTAGATTCAACACAAGCAAATGTCTATACCTCATCAGGGTCTAGTAGGCTGCTTCCAAGCTGCTGTTACTTCAGTATTCACCACTTCTTTCTCATAGTGGACGCTTAGGAGCTTCACACCCTGATTCCATCATTCTCAGCTGTTGTTCCCCTCCTTCCACCTTATCCAAGAGAGTTTTCTGAAGTCCAGTTGTTTCAGTGGTCAAGTTTACAGTGATGTCCCACAAATACTTGTATTAATGCATATTTATGGTGTGGGTGAGCATGTTGCAGATGGGAACTTCTTAAGCTAGATTTGCTGCTAAATCTAGCGTATGGTATAATTACACCTTGCTAGCACAGCTATGCTGACACTAATTTGAATAACTTGCTAGGTAGGAGGCTTTCTAGTTGGCCCCTTGGAAAACGTGTAGTTTGTATCTTGTGTAAATATGTCTGCAGACGTGGCAGTAATTGTGAGTGATACTTCTAACTATTTGAGCTCAAATACAAGTCATGGATCTTTTAGTAACCTGTCATCAAGCCCCATGCTTGTCCAACATGAAAGTGAGGGGGATGACTTAAAACACAGTTGTGCAGGTGACTGTGACTTTGAAATACAGTTTCATTCATATATTGGAAAGTAATTTCTTTTACTTTCCTATTGTTCTTGCTGTTCTGCCTGTCCAACAGTAATAATGTAGGGCTTTTTTCACTTCTGTGGTTTGATTTGATTGTGATTACACAAGAACAGTTAAACTGAGAAAAATGTATGACTTTTACATGTTCAACCTTCAGAGTATAGCTCAGAATGGGTGCATTTAAAGGACAAAATTGAACTTTAATGATTTAGCCTAATCAGTCCTTTAGCTGCTGGAAAATGAATGTTGATATCCTAAAATAAAATAAAAGTGAGCAAACAAAACCCAAAACCCCACCACTTGTACCAAATGAGGTAGTTGGAAACTATTTTTATGCAACAAACAGACTTCAAGGTGTGTAAAAGTGAAACTAGGAATTAGATTTTCAAACTTCAAAACAGCAAGAGCTGTGAAATACTATTCTGAATGTGCTCCATTGAATCACAGCATTTAAGAGATCTCGAAGTGGTGATTGATCTTATTTCTACCATATGCCAAGCTGTAACGACAGAGCTGCTGTTACTTGAGTACACGTGAAGATTCTGTATTAGCTTGTAGAATTTCTGCAGCGCTTGTAAAGAGACTTATTGTTATTACAGTAATTCTGAAAAAAAAAAAATTAGGAAAATCCAAAAGATAACTTGTCCATGTTTTCCCATCCTGCACCAGTAGTTCTCTTTAATATATTCTCTATGAACTGTTAAGGAGTGTAAGAGTTTTGGGATCAAGGTAGCTGTCAGAATTCGAGAATTGGGTTTGGGTGATTTCTTTAATTCAAATTGATTGGCTATGGATTCTCTTTGTAATTATCTTTTTGCTACATGTTATTTTAGGAGAATGAGAGGGGATAAAAGGTTATTTTAAGTGTGTTAATATAAATATGAAATGTGCTATAGATGCCATCAAGGACAGTTCTGTGCATACACCATAGCTCATGTGAAAAATTGAATGCATTGTATTTCTGTGTTTAGATATTGCAAATGGCTCCAGCTCAGGAGGATACCGCCCCCCTCCCAGAACAAAAGAAGTGATCATCAACGGACAGACAGTGAAACTAAAATACTGTTTTACTTGCAAGATTTTCCGCCCACCTCGTGCCTCACATTGCAGCCTTTGTGATAACTGCGTAGGTGAGTAAAAAAAAAAAAAAAAGGCATATATTCAATTCAGTAACTTATATATTGTTATGAATATTTTTGCGAGAGAGGAAAGAAGCAGAGTGAGTTAGTGACAAGATTACTCACAAGGTCACTTGCAGTGTTCATCCTTCTTTCCTACAAGCTCAGTTAAATGTTAAGAGTTTTAGAGAAGGCAGAAGAGGAGATTTGGCCGAACAGATAGTTGTTGTTAGTCTAAGAAGGAAAAATATCTTCCGGTGCATACATCTTTCCTAACCTACTCTGCAAGACAAAGAACACACCCAATTCCAATAGGGCTGCATAGTATGTACAATGAACTTCCCAGTGCAGAGAACCAAGCTTTACAGGAGTCTCAGAATTGTTTTCTTCACCAAACCACGTTGAGGGCAAGGCACTGGTTCTCCAGTTCCATTACACACTAACTGTAAGGCACGGTTCAAATGGTTGTGGCTTGCACTGTGACCAGAATAGGCACTGTAGGTGATTCTTACCTTTGAACAGTTTGAAGACTAGGAATTTTAACGTCAGAATCAATAAGAAATTACTGGGCAAACATGCTGTTTTGAGAGCAAGTACATGTCAGGACCTAAGGATATTTTGTAATGAAAGTAGTTGTGTTTTGGGTTTTGTTGTGTTTTTGTGGGTTTTTTTTTTCCTCTGAACATGTTGTCTTTTTTCATTACTATTTTCTTTGGAGTGCAGACAAGGTGATTAAGATATGCTTGGGTTTAAAAGCAAACCAAAAAAACCCACTGATCAAATCTGAGTGGTTTCTAGTTAATTAGATCACATTTAGCATTTAGTGCAGATGATTAGCACACTGTTGAGCCTGGATCTTATGCATTCAAGAAAATAATGGAGAAAGATATCTCCAGCTGAGAAATGTAATTGCAGCATTCAGCACTGATATTTTTAGATATAAAGCAGTCATTGGAAGAATTACAGTTTCATGTTTAGTTGATAGTCATTTAGGGAGTGCACTTACATCAGAGTAAAAAATCTAGCTTTTTGGCCCTATACAGTTGATTGGTATCTGTAGATGGTTCCTTCAGTAAATAAATTTTTCTAAGTGTTGTAAAAGCTCTTTTAGCTTGGCAAGTAGGGATGTTTATGAATTGCAATTGACACTTTTTCAGAAAAATATTATATCAAATGTGTAACCTGGACTTTACAGTGCTGTGGTATTGCTCAGCAAACCTGATAATATGAAAATGCAATTGTTGACCAGTGCAGTAAGTAAAAGTTAAAGACTGTCGTCTTTACTGAGCGCGTGTAAATAAGAGCAACTCCCACACACGTATCCTGAAGCTTGTTTTAAAATGTTTCAGGTTTTTTAATAAACTGGTATGAAGAATTTTCCTACAGGTTATTCTGTAATCTGATTGTGTCCTTTTCACGCTAGATTTAGAAAAACTGCTCTATGAAACATACAATTAGTGACGGTGGGGAAGCAACTTGATCTTTGTCTTCTGACTATGTATGTGATGATGCAACAGATGTGAATTATGAATGTATATCAGAAGAGAGTCTGAGCAAATGACTCATAAGTGATAATTGTATCCAAGAAGATTAGTCTTTTCTGCTCATAAAATAGATATGATCATTATAATTTCCTCTTGCACATTTTTTTTTCACCTGGGTCAAGACAATCCCAAGCGCAGATACAGGCTGGGCAATGAGTGGATCGAGAGCAGTTCTGGGGAGAAGGACTTGGGCGTGCTGGTGGGTGATAGGACGAACATGAGCCAACAGCATGCACTTGCAGCCCAGAAAGCCAACTCTATCCTAGGCCACATCAAAAGCAGTGTGGCCAACAGACTGAGGGAGGTGATTCTGCCCCTCTGCTCTGCCCTCATAAGACCCCACCTGGAATACTGCATCCAGCTCTGGAGCCCCCCAGCACAAGAAAGGCATTGAGCTGTTGGATCAAGTCCAGAGGAGGGCTACCAAGATGGTCAGAGAGTTGGACCACCTTTCCTACGAGCATAGGCTGGGAGAGTTGGGCTTGTTCAGCCTGGAAAAGAGAAGGCTCTGGGGAGACCTTATAGTGGCCTTCCAGTACCCTGAAGGGGGCCTACAGGAAAGGTGGGGAAGGACTTTTTACAAGAGCCTACAGTGATAGGACGAGGGGCAATGGTTGGAAGCTGGGAGAGGGCAGGTTTAGACTAGATACAAGGAAGAAGTTCTTCACCCTGAGGGTGGTGAGACACTGAAACAGGTTGCCTAAGGAAGTTGTGGATGCTGCATCCCCGGGAGTGTTCAAGGCCAGGTTGGATGGAGCCTTGAGGAACCTGGTCTAGTGGGAGGTGTCCCTGCCATGGCAGGGGGGTTGGAAGTAGGTGATCTTTGAGGTCCCTTCCAACCCAAACCATTCTATGATTCTATGATTTTTTTAATTTTAAGTTGTTTGTTTTAAAATTATTCCATCTATTTATTGGTATGAATTTGCTGAGTTTTTTCTCCTTGGCATTTATAATGGGAATTACAATAAATTACGACATTTTCAGGGTACATTGCACAGAACTTTTGTTTTCTGATTAGGGACAGGTATTAGTCATATAAATATTCAGGTGTATTGAATGCAAAAAGGGAAATCTACAAGTACTTACAACTAATTTTTGGTGAAAAATAGGTGTCAAGAAAATCAGATTGCTCATGTACTTGTGGAAAACTAACAGTCTAAGGGCATGCACTTAATCAGAATGTGTTATGCATTTCACCACCACTCTTAAGTTAAGATTGTCTACATCATGATGCTTTTATTTAATTTTAGTTTGTGAATAAATCTTATAATAGCAACGAGTGTTGTTATGCCACTATCATTTGCTGATTTTTTGCTGATGTAACTAAACCAATGTGAAAATATTCCTACTTCACATACATACAGATATTTAAGTAACTTATGATTGCAACTCGCTACCAATATGGCTGTGCATTCCTTTTTACCACATAGTTCCTGAAGCTTTTGCTGCATAGTTATAAACTAACTACAGAGATTATGTGGTACAGAAACGGAGTCTGTCTTCAAACCAGCGCTCACTGCTCAGAAGAAAGTGTGCTACTTTTACCTGTGTTTTATGGGCAGATGAATGCAGTGTGAAAGAGGGGTTCTTTCATTCTGTGTTTTCTATTGATGCTTTTCATTCTGTAAGGAATCCTTAGCAGCATTTAAAATATGTAAGTACATACAAAAATTTATTCATCATTGGTTTTTCCTATTTTTGAATTAAACCTAACTTTCTAGTTGTCTGTTAACTTGATCTTGTTTGATTTTCATCACATCACTAATTTTATTATAAATAGCCACAAAGTATATTTAGATTAAAATATGAAGAAATACCTTTAAAAGCACAACAAACTAATGTGAATTCTACCCATAGTAACACTTCAGACTCCTTTAGCTTCACAATATTTTCATAGCAGTATCCAGGAAAATCTGTATTTTCATAAAAATGTAGTTTGTTGCATTTATGTAATAACTTCAGAAATTCAGTTGAATAAGTGTTCCCTGAGGCAAATGTCTTGGGTGTATTCCCAACTTGCTTTCTTTGACTGCCTTTGTGATGGCAGTTGGAAGTTAGCCCCTCAAGGGTTTTCTGTGTACCACTATGGTGTTTAAAAATGATAAATGAATTTAAAATAATGTACACATAACCACAAGAGATAGAGACTTTAAAAAAAAAAAAAAAAAGAACCACCACAGAGACAAATTCTGAGCTCAAGCTGGTTATTGCTGGCTTTTGACAAGAGGTTTTGGTTGCACTGTGTGATGCTAGTAAGAAGTCAGTGGCTGGGCTTGCTTCTGAAATAACAGAATTACTTTTTTTTTTTAAATTATTTTTGGTCATTTCAACATCAACTGTGTAATTTCCTTTTTTTGTTTGGTTTTAATAAATAATTTTTGTATTGTTTACTTTGATTTCTATAATAAAATATGAACAATAACCAACTGACTATTTCTAAACAATTTATTTAAATATAGTACCAAATGACTAACGAGAAAATAATGATTAGCAACGGTAAATCAACTTAGTCCAATAATCTGAATGTCTGAAGCCTTCTTTGGATTCACATGCCACCGTTTTGCATATCAAGTGAAGTAACTGATTTAGGCTAAGGCAAAAATCTAGTATGGTGGAAGAAAAGATCCTCCATTTATATTAATCTAAGAGAATATAAACTTGTTTCAGAATCTGTATATCGTCCATTTGTATGTGACTGATGGATAAAGATAGCTTCTCTTCTCCAGTTTCACTGTATTTCTTTCAACATGTGATTTTTTTTTTTCTACAGAGGATTCAAAGCTCAAATTTTTGAACTTAGGTGTCACAATTTAACTTTGAAACGTTTAGTTTGATTTTTCAGAGATCACCTGTGCACATGGCAGTGGCGCAGTAAGTTAGATTGAAGTCTCAGCTTGTGCAGTAGCCCGTTTCCCTCCATGGCCAGAGTGCATCCCTGGGGAAGAACA